TATATACAGGGTGATTTTTTTATCATAACCCACTCAATTACTTGCAGAAAAATAATAATTTAAACATTTTTTTTTTTTATTATCTTTAGTTACACAGTATTCTTGAATTTTTAACTATGTAATACTTTTTAAGTTCATCCCTTATGCCTTAGAGGGGGGTCAACTTTGTTTTTTTAAATGGAAACACATATTTTGAATTTAATAAAATGTTTGAGTTTTTAATTTAATAGTAAATGGCATTTGAATTTTTAATATAACTTTATTAGCTTATTAGATATAAACATTTAAAGTTTCAAAATTTTGAGTTAATATACATGTATAATACACATGGGATTGTAAATACAGGTAGCTAATTGGATTTTTATGACATTGCTGTCTCAGTCACGGATTGTTTATTATCAATTATGATTATCAATAGATATACTTTCTGTATTGTCAGTTAGTGTATTTATAAACTCATAACAATGTGCCTTACTACAATTGATAATAACAATGCTGTGTACCTGCTAATATCGATGTNATTATTTTTAACTTTTTAGTTCGACGTGCTTTAAAAGCGTGTTTTTTTAGTTTTTTAAACTATATTTATTATTATGTAAACCTATACTTTATAATTACAACTTAAATTCTTGTATCAAAAATATTCCAACATCTTTTTTAAATTTTGGAACAAACGTTTGTTATTCTAAAAGTATATTTTATAGTTCTTTAAATAAATATTATTGGTCTTTTGAAAACTACATACATTCTTTTGTTAAATACATCATGAAAATGAAATACATTAAGCATGTCATTTTTATTTTTGACCCTGAAAGTTAATATTTAATATAACTGTTATTATCACTAAAAAAAGTTTTGACATTGTTTTATGATCATTAAAAAAAAAATGTTTATATAAATATATTTATAATGTCTTTATTTTTAAGTGAAATAAATATTACACATTATATTACTTATATGCAAGTTTTGAATTAGTCTTATGGCTACTATTATTTCTACATAAATTTAAACTAAAATGATAAAATATCTTATATTTTAATATTATATTTTTATTGTATATAAAAAAATACATAGAATTTTCGTGTGTGCGAATTAGCACAATTTAAGAGAGTTTCATACTTAACATTTTGACTTTCATCAGAATCAAGTAAATTTATATTATCCCGATTATTTAGAATTAATAATCTGAGTAAAGAACGGTTAAACAATAGATTGATTTAAAAATTATTTAATTTACTTATTAATAAATAGTTAGTTAGTTCTTGATCATATACTTCGACTGGGTGTCAGAGAGGAAGCCTCCGCCACTCCAAGAATACCTCAGCGTATAATACCTCTATAAGAGGAACTTTAATCATTTCTTTTATGTGTACTTGATTTTATTGTTCTAAACCCTCGGATTCTACAGTCCCGATAGTACCCGTCGCCCTTTAACTCTCATTGAGAGTTATTAAAAATACAGAAAAATAAGCCCCATTATACCCCTTTGTCCTTGATTCAACTTATATCACAATAAAAATGAAATAATAAAATTTTGTCATCTTAGATTTGGTTCCAATTTATTGCAAGTCCATACATATTTTTTATTCTTCTTCTTATTGTACATTTCACAATGAGGAACATAACTTCACTCCCTAAAATCAAAAATTTATTAGTCACTTATTTAATAACACAGTTCAATTTTTTTTTACTTTTGCATAATATTCATACTTTTTCTACTAATATCATTTTATAATCTCAACCTATCACAGTTATATAATAAAAAATGATCACTTGTGGATAATATTATTTAAAATTAAAACTATATTAAAAATATTAAAGTCAAAAAAACACAAAAATATTACTCAAAAAAAATCGCGAATACGTATTTTTACAATGTTACCATTATCAACGCTAAACACATACTGACACTCCTACCATAAAAAAAACCCCTTATATACCCCTAGTGACCTTATCACCTAGTGACGTTATCACTAAGTAAATTATCACATTTTTTTAGTTAATACAAGTTTAATAATCAACTTATCAGTGGATCAAGATTCAATTAATTAAATTGTCCTAATTTTTTAACATCAGTATTGCCTCCTTTATATTAAGTTTCTTGTAATTATTTACATGTTTCATTAGTTTTTTGGTTTTAATGAAGTGATGAACGTTCAGCCACCAAAGATTTATCACCTTTTGATTTTTAATGTTTCTTAAGTGCTCATTAAATCTAACCTTTATATTTCATTTTGTTTGTCCTACGTAACATTTATTACAACTTTCACATTGTGTTATATACCTAATAAATCTCTTAAATTATTACTTTTAGATGTTACTAAATTAATACCAAAAGTGAGTGTACTAGTTGCCCTCCCTTCTATATTCCACTTTTGTGTTCGGACTAATTTTGAAATTGCGTTTTCGTTATACTTATTAAATCTAGCTATTACTCTTATAAACCCCAGTTGTTTATCAAAATCTATTTTATTCATCGTAATATTAACTAATCTGTAAACCATAATATTAAAAGCTGCCTTTTTTGTTGCCAGCTATGGTTCGAATTGTTAGGAATGTACATGAACGTTTTTCCGATAAATTTCAAAATTTAGTTACCTCTCTACTCTTTTAACTAATAAACCCAAAAAAGGCAAGATTCTCTCTACTTTCTGTTCATATGTGAATTTATTCGAAGGATAAAAAAATTTTAAATGTTATATAAATGTTAAAAGTATGAGTATCAGAATATGTTTAGCGTCGATAATAGTAACATTGTTTCCAAAATACATATCCGCGATTTTTTTTGTGATTTTTTAAGGTGAATATTTTTTAGTTTTACATTAATAGTATTTTTAATATAGTTTTAATTTAAAAATAAAATATCGCAGTTATTTATTATTTCCAGAGTGCAAATATTATTCTTAAAGACGTTTATTTATTATTGAATGTTTATTAAAATAAAAACCTAATAAATATAAAAAAAACCCAGCACAGGGGGGTCGCGGCACAGTGGTCACGTGCATAGTTGGATCAAGTATAATGATATCTGACAGTGATTAAAATCACTATAAAAAAAAAACGCTTCGATGCAAATCNTAGTGATTTTAATCACTATCAAAAAAAAACGCTTCGATGCAAATCTTTAGATAGTGTTTAATTTTAAAAAATTGGTGGATTATTCCAAAAGCTTCATAAACTGCTAGTTCCTTATTAATATCCTGATTAAGACAAAGTATGTCGAATAAAAAAGAGATTATTAGAAAATAGTATTTCCCATAAAAAAATTATATTGATCAATACACTTTTCAATAAGTTATAGCATTATAATGTTAAAAATGTAAAAAATAAAATTGAGAATTTTCACACAATAATAGCATT